GGGGGGGGGGGGGGGGGGGGGGGGGGGCGCTCGGCCGGTAGACGTTGTGTGTTAGGCCGTCAGTTGGGAGTCTCAGCAGAGCGCAGCGAGGTTGTTTGTTAGGCTGCTCCCCGTTGGGCCTTTCAGGTTACTGGTGCATGCAGGCGACCACACGTTTTTCGAGCCGTTCGGTTGGAACGACGAAAGAAGACCCTTCGGCGGGCAGAAGCCACAAGCGGCGGTTCCAACAACAACGGCTGTAGCAGCAAAAGAAGGGCTATTTTTATTTTTTATCGAGCCCCCGAGTTTCGCCCACGGTTCGGTGGCAGGGGGGCTCATTTGTTTGATGATACCTCCTTGTGCACGTCGAGCCAGAACACCGCCGTGCCTGCGCTTCTGGTGAGCAGCATCGCCGACAAAGTGCGGGCGATCCTTAGCGTTAGGCAGCTCTTTGTACACAACATAAGTCCTTGCTTTTGACTTGTCTCTTTCTAGTTTTTGCACGAGGGGGACGGGGGACGGGGGGGCTCTTTTTTCCGCAGCCGCTGTTTTTGTTCTGGCCGAGAGGGCCGTGCGGTCGGGAAGTAAAACACGCTCGCTGATCCAAGTGAAGGTTTCGTCGCCAATGATCTGTTGATCTGTGTTCCGTATGTCGTATTCCATGGGTTGTGTTCCGTATTCCGTGCTCATATTTTGTGTTCCGTTTGTGGTATTCCTTCATTCCGGGCTACATGCTCCAACCACACTGCTGTGCCGTATTTGGCTGCGAAATGCTACCCCCTTTGGTCCCACTCCCTGTTGAATTGAGTGGAAAGACGCCGTCCAACAACAAGTGCACACCTTTGTTTGGACCCAAATGTTGCACATCCGTTTGTATAGCCAATCGATGCACCGCCCTTTTCGACCAAGCTCATGCACGCCTTTCGTCCACCCGACTTGATGTACGATACCCCTTGCTCGAGTAGAAGAAACACTGGGCGTGTGACAGCGCCGGCAGCATGTTCTGGGCTGCGTTCGTCGGGCCGGAGGAGGATGCCAGCACCTCGCATGCTTCTCTGCTACGAGTAAGTGGTTGTGGTTGTGGTTGTTGTCGTTGTTGTTGTTGTTGTTGTTGTTGTTGTTGTTGCTATTGTTGTTGGTGTTGTTGGTGGTGGTGGTGGTGGTGGTGGTGGTGGTGGTGTTGTTGTTGTTGTTGTTGTTGGTGGTGATGTTGTTGTTGTTGGGGGTGTTGTTGTGCTGACTCTACTACTGATATTGAAAAAAAAATCCTTTTTTTATTTCTGCAGGGCGGCTTTTCCTCGTACCAATGTCTCAACAGCTATTTTTTC